CAAAGTTTTGTAATAGTCGCCAAGATGACTGGGATGTCTTACTTCTTCCACTGTTGATGGCCTATAGGACAGCAGAGCTTGATGGCACTGGATACACTCCAGCAAAGTTGATGTTTGGTCGGGAACTTCGGTTGCCAGTGGATCTGTTAACAGGACGCCCACCTTATGAAGAGTTTCCTGAAAATGTGTCAGAGTTTGCGAAAGTGTTATTGGAAAGGATGGATGATATTCATCATGAAGTGCATTGAAACTTGAAAACGTCTGCTGATTCCATGAAGCTATGTTATGATAAGAGATCTAGTGAAGTCAGCTTTGTACCAGGAGACAAGGTGTAGTTGTATAATCCCAGGAAGACAAAAGGAAACTCTCCTAAGTTGTCTTCTCCATGGGAAGGCCCATATGACATAGTGGATCGTCTCTCATACATAACTTTCCGGATAAAATGTTGTCGGCGAGGCAAAACAAAGGTAGTGCATGCCAACAGGCTTTGGCATTATCACGGTCCAGGACATTTCAGTTGGGACGAAGTGAACAACAGAACAAATGATGCGGCTGAAGATTTGTCACCTGAAAAAGCCACTGGCGAAGAAGAAACTCTACTCGGTTTTGAGAAGGGAAACAGTGAAGCCCTTGATGAAGTTACTACCACTGATGTGACTGTTACCGATGATAGGACGTTTCCTGATGAAGGAGATGAACCCCACATGAAGCAGAAGCCAACGAAATGGAGACTAGTACGAAAGAAGATACGTCCCGTAAAATTAAGAGACTTTGTTGAATTTTAATTTTGTGTTTGTAAATTCAGTACATTTAATTAAGTTATTGTTAAATGTTTATTTGTTTAATGTAAGTGGCTGTTGTTCGGGACGAACAATACTAAGGAATGGGCAGTGTTACAACAGCAGAAGTCACGTGAGCTAGTAACACGTTATTATATTCTCGAAGGTTCGTGAATGCTCGAGTGTTTGCCAGATGTGCAGTATTCGTGTATATAAGTGCGCCAGACAATGAATCGAGATAGAATTGCAGACAGACAGAGACGGACAATTGAGTCAAGCGCGGTAGTAAGTAGTGCGTGAATCGTTCGTTGTGAATTATAGCGTGTGTTTAAGTTAAATTGATTGTGGAAATTAAGTGTATTGCAAAGTTGTATTGAGAAAGAATAAACTAGTTTTTCTTAAGTAAGGACTTGTATCGCTTAAGTTTTTCGGAAGCTACTTTTACGGGAAATTAGCAAATGACCAGAGACGTAACAGTACTATACTAACCTACAAATAAACGTATTTTTACAATTTCATGGGTAATCGATTGAGTAACTGAATATACCCGATATCTAACATCGACCCAAATACTTCAGTGATTGACTGGTACTCTATCAAAGGAAAACTGACACAGTGCTTCATTGATTCTTGTATTCATGTTGTAGTCTTGTTTTCAGACGCTACGTAAAATCTCTCAATCAGTACTATTCACGAACATTCTAAGTATTCTAGGACTACTTTTTTAAAGTTACTTAATCTTAACGTCATAAATCTCTCAATCAGTACTATTCACGAACATTCTAAGTATTCTAGGACTAGTTTTTTAAAGTTACTTAATCTTAACGTCATACGCCCTCTAAATTAAAACATTGAAAACATAGCTTAAATCAACATCAACCAAATTTGGTTGCTTCAGTTTACAGACAAACTGACAATCAATCAAAGATACCGAAACTCTTAGAACAAATCAGTTACCTTGTCACTTATGCAACAACATTACATTAAATCAGATTTAAAATATTTGACTGTTTTTATGTCTTTCTTATTTATGAAAGACTGTGTTTAAGTATGTTTTTTTATATTGTGATAGCTTTATACTTGATGCATATTTATCTTATGCACATTTTATTAAATTGAGTAGCTTTTTCGTGCCGATCTGTTTGTATAAGTGTTTTATATTACATATGTCAGAAAATGTCGAATGATATGATGATTAAAAATGTTTTCATTGTCCTTGGACTAACATCGGAAACCCCGTGTTTACCTAAAGATTAGTATAACGCCTTCAAGGGCACGCCATGTTGTCCTGGGAATTGTTTGATGTTAGTATCTTATGTCGTTCAGTCTATCTTTTACTTTATAGCGAAAGAAATAATTTTGTGCTCCATTGGTTTCCTACGGTAATATGCATTTTAATATATGATATTAATAACTTGTAGCTTTTTGTAGCATATAATAAACTAAAATGTAAACAAATTAGGTAATCAACATTTTATATCACTTACATTTGACCTTTTAACCATTTTATTAATTCAAATTTACATATCAAAAAGAAATGTTGCTCTAGGGTTATCAAATATACATTGCACTGAGACTGAGAGCAACTTTCGTTCATCCATCGGCTCTACGAGTACTGAGTACGTTAGCCGAAGTTAAGCCTAATGTTAAAATGTATACTTAATTAAGCGGAAACTTATTTTGGATCTTGATTGAACATAAATGTCGGTGCTTTCGTTGAATGTAGGCTTTTAGCCTCTAGGCTACAGTAACACATATAAAAAGTCTTTCTGAATTAGCACAGTGATGGCGCTAGTGCACTTCCTTACTTACTAAGACTGGAGTAGGGTCCTAATCCTGGAAGGGGAAATTTTTGAGGATCCTGGAAACTAAATGGAACTTGACATATACATTTGTTCTAATATTAAAATTAACGGCATATTATTGACATGTGTACTGTAATCTAAAATTTGGGATCTGGATCTGCTCAGTTTGTATTATTATTATTTTCTTGATATTCTTGAGCTAAAATATTTATGGTGAGGGTACCCAACTGATAAAACAATGCATTTTAATTTTTTAATAATTATTAGTATAAAAGTAAGAACAGAAATGCATGTACTCATTTCAAGGTTAATTTTAAATTTTGGTTTAAGTAGCTAGTTTGCTGTGATTGGAAGTTAGTACTGAATAACATCAAAAAGTGAATGAGTACAGAGTGGGTGTGCATCAAAATTTGATGGTAATAAAATTTAAACTTTGATTATATGTTAGATCGTTTATTAAATAGAGCTATATCAAATATTGAAATAATGAATACAACTTTTTTATTTTCCATTCCATAATTCATAAATATAATATTTCTCACATGAATACGTACATGTCACAAGTTCACTGTTTAAAAGATAGCTTCTATTTGGCTCCTGTTTTTGAAAATTGCTAAAGAATTTTGAGGTTGGTGATTTGTCTTTTAGGCTTCAACTTTCTGAGACAAAGCAGTACCTGTTAGAGTAAGCTATGTACTTAGAATGAAACTCTTAATCAACCAAGCCATTAGTATAGCTAATTAAATATACTTTCTGTACTTTGTTATTAATAAAGATTAAAATGCATTGTTTCATCAGTTGGATACCTTTGCTCCTAATGATACTTTCTGCTGCTGTCCCAATAATATCTTACAAAATTCGACCAACTTTGGATATTTAAGGTAGTCCTAAGCACATATTTTAAGTTAACAATGCAAAACAGTCTTTATAATTAAAGTATATAAAACAAAATATGAAGTAATGATATTTGATGTACTAACTAGTGTAACTAATACTTTCAATGAAAGTAACAATAAGTAAAAAATAAAGTGTACCATACTTAGAGAACAGACATTAACTGTTGGCTTAAAATATTTGCATAAAAGTTAATTTCTTTAGAAATTTAACTTTGATCTCTACTTCTACTTGGCATCTTCAGACCAGAGATAGTCATTTAGTCACTCCAGAGGCAAGTCACAGCTATGGCAACTTAAGATGCAGGTTACTGTTCAAACCATAACCCTGCTCAATAGTGCATATTTTTCTTTCAGAAAGCTTTAAATAAGCTTTTTTTTTTTTTTAAAGAAAGAAGATATTTGGATTCACGAGGAATTGGTAGAAACGTTTAACAGTAAGTAGGAAATTTGTTTATTGATGGAAAAATGATTATGAATGAAAATATTCTACTTGTCAACAAGTTTAATCATTAAGAAGTTTGAATGTAACAGTAAATATGACAGCAAGCATCTATTTGACTTAGTTTGAAAACCATTATGGCTTCACAATATAAAGAAAAGACAATTTCACATTATTTTGGCCCAATCTAAAATTGGAGCTTGTGATGTTGGAATAATTGAAAATAGTAACATTCAGAAATAGTAAATGATAGGCTCTTTGGTTGTTTAGTACAACTCATACAAGCATGCACACACACACACACACACACACACACAAAGTGTATTTTTGCTTCCTAACTTTTTCAACCACTTCATTATTCTACCATGGTATTGTCCTATTTTTCAGTCACATTGTTGTTTTTTAAAGTAATTTTTGAATTACCCTTGATTTCATATGGTAGATTTCTTCTGAGGGTTGCCATTTGCACATTTTTTGAAAAATGTTTTTGCTACATTTCCTACTTTGCAAGTGACTTTTTTTGTCAACTAAGTACCACCACACAGTTGCAGTTATGTTTGTTTTTTAAATAAATAAAAACATTTTACTTTCATGATAAGGATAGTAATGTTTTTATTGAAAACATGTCTGATTGCAATTACAAATAAGTAGTCACACAATTTATTTTTGTATACTGTTTTAATTGTATAAACATAAAAATGATGTTCAGTAAAGATTTATGTTATCACAACTCATTAAACAGTAGTCTTCTGATTTGATTATTTTATTTGGTGAACATAAAAGTTTAGAAACGTATATAATATATGCATTAAAAAGTAAAAACACCATAATTTCAAATGAACCAAACAATTTAGATACCGTTATTAAGTCTAAAGCAATTACCAGAGCAGTCACTCAATAAAACCATAATATATGCATTAAGAAGTAAAAACCATAATTTTAAACAACCAAACATCAAGATACCATTATTAGGTTTAAAGCAATTACCAGAGCAGTCACTCAATAAAACCATAATATATGCATTAAAAAGTGAAAACACCATAATTTTAAACAAAGAATCAAACATCAAGATACCTTAAAAATTTCGATACATACTGTAACTATTGAGTATAAAAAATAAATAAATAAAACTGTCCTCACTTGGGATGATTCCTACCTTGACAAAATTTGTGTGTGTCTTTTCCCTGCCATTCTCACCATTAAGTATGAAAAATATAATGCATTGACACTATCAGTCCTCTCAGCAATCTTAACACCTCTATCAGATCCTTTCTTTTTCAAATGTAAATATTTTCAGAGATCTTTATCTGCCCTTTTATGAGAACCTTTTCTTCCCAGGTGTCATCCTAGTAACCCTGAACCCTTTCCAACAATTCAATGTTCTTCCTATGGTAAGGACCCAAGAATGAACACACTACTTTAAATGTGGCTTAACCAGTGACCTTTACAATGAAACTATAATCTCTTTAGACTTGTATTCAATATTTTTATAAATAAAACCTAAAATCCTTTCTGCCCTACCATTAGTGATAGTAAAGTGCTTTGATGGCTTAAGCAACTGATCAACCAAAACAAAAAGATTCTTTTTTTTTCTGTAACACTCTTAAGGGTATTTCCATCAAATTTATTATTCAAATTGTGATTATTCATGTGCATTACCTTGCATTTACTATAATTAACCATCTCAGCACGGGTAAGTCAAAAATGCATATCTTGACCACTTTATAGAGTTATATTCAAAATTTAATTAAACTATTTTATTGTCAACATATATCAGTAAACTTGTCATCAAAACAAGTTTATAGTTTATTTTAATATTGTACAGTTTTTGTTTCTTAATATTAAAAGGAAATATTTAAATAAATGCTCGATCTTTCTGTATCATGTGACACTTCATTCTAAGCCACACGTTTCTACATTTTTTGTTAATGCTCTGTGGTCTTATAACTTTCCATGGAATTTACCACTTATACTATACGAATCTTCGAGACAGAATATCAAGTTGCAGTGATAAAACTTTTTTGCATTATGGAGATACGACCAATAAAGTGAAGGCCACATGCCACTTCAACCACAGTGCATCCTGCTTTAAAAAATCAACATACATTTTCTTAAACTTTTGCTACTGTATTTTTTGTAAAGAATAGAAAGCAACGATATCACTCAACTAACAACTGAATTGAACATTTTAGCATCATATTTATTGTTTTCCACTGTTCTATCTCTGCGTAACAGATATGGGATTTGTTATAAGCCACTACTATCTCACTTAAAGAGTAAGATAAATTATATTAGTTTTAGAACATTCTGTTTCATAAGCATGGAGATATTTTGTATTCTGAATTGGATATTTGAATTAAAACAATTCCTGAGACCAACTTGTTACTTTGAATTATGACTAAAGTTTGATGTCAACTTGGATTGTACAAGTGCAAGATTTCAGGTGTAAATACTAAATTTCTTGTTTTCTGTATATATTTATTGTTGTAAAAGTAGCTCATAATGAGTAATTTTAAATGAAATGAATAAAATACTCTTGATCAATGATGGTGTGCACTGAGTGTGAACAGGGTTGTGTAGTTCAAGTATGCTAGTAACTGGATCTGATTTTCACACAAGGCTGTCCGGTATAATAAATATCCTGAGAAGGCCAAGGTTCAACTGTGAATATAAAAAGAACCAAAAGAAGAAAATCTATTAACATAGGCTGTAAAAATAAATGATGTGCAATTAGCTGTTACAGTGTGCAGACAGTTAAGAATGGAAAAAAGGGGTAATTTAGATTTATTTTTATATTTTTTTTGTGGTGGTTATAACTGTTGGTTATATGTACAGTATTAGGGTAAAGAAAATAACAAAGAATAAATTTTACAGAAGAAAAAAAAAATATTCATTAACTTTTTCAGCATGAGCTTGGTATCTGGGACTGACCTCGTAACTATTTTGTGCTTGTTATAGTTTTCATGCTATAACTTTTAAATTAGTAAGCGAATGTTAACAAAATTTGGCAGATTATCAGTAAACATTACAATGTCTAAAGTAAACATTAAAATTCTTTCGTAAACACAAAAAAAATCAGAATTTTTAGTGAAGTACTTTTACTAAAACTTTGTCTGAAAGTATATGGAGTCAGAGTATTGACTGCTTCGAGTGCAAGATGATTTTCATATTAAAATTAAAAATACTTTTCATCGGTTGAATATTTTTCTAATTAATTTGAGTAATCCTTGAAATCTCCTAAACAAATATAAAATGTGTTTTTTTTGGAAAAACTATATTTTATCTGCTATTAAGTAATATAACTTACAGGGTCTATTGATTTGACCACCTTGTAACCACCATAAAAAGTAGGAAATTGTTCTACATTATCCTTTTTTCTTTCTGTAATGAATGTAAGTTATAATAAGAAACCACAGTTGTTTATCTTTAAAGTTTATAACAGTATATATCTATTTATATTTAATTTTATTGTTTTATTGCCTTTTGAACCATTTCTAATTAATAATCTTACCTCACAAGTTGTAAGCCACTCAACAAACGTGTAGCTCACTTTACCATATCAAATTACATGATGCACGAGGTGCTCACAAGCACAACTTGTGAAGAATTGTTATGATATTTTTCTTTATCTTACCTAATCTAGTAAGTTTTTAGTTTTTACATTAATTACTTTTATATTAAATAAAGGATACACATGAAAAACAAGAAATATAGTACTTATCTGAATCTTCTTTTTTTTGCTGTCAACTGTCATTGAAATTTAACCCTGCTAATGGTACTAGTACACCAAATAGTATTTTATTTGATATAATATTTTACTGAAGAACATGGTATAATAACACATAAATTATGATATTGTCTGATTTCTTTCTGACATTCTAAATATGCAATAAGAGCCATTAAAAATCTATCAAAGCTTGTCGATGTGTTTCCCATCTGAATGAAGTTAGAACTGGAAGCAAAATAGATAATTCTCTGTTCTGAAAACAATGTAATATAATACATCATTTGATAGATTAAAGCATTGGCTTTCTGTTGGTTATAAGTATCATAGCATAAAATGTTGGGAAAACTATTGGCAGTTTGTGAAAGAGAGGATGTGATAGGTAGGAGTGGCAAGTGTGTCTGATTTTCTAGTTAATGGATCCATAAACAATTAATATTGAAGGCTATAAAATTTATGTTTTGCTTGAGTAGTAATTATATTATAATAAGTAAATTCTGTACTTCTTGGAGGGATGGTAAATTATAGAAAAGGGAAGACCTAGAGAGGAAATGTCACAATTCTTGTACTATCAGCTAACTTTCTGGTACACCACCAGCTTATGAAGTCACATTATGCCCCATGTGTTGTGGCTAGGTGATGCTTTTTCTTAAATGTTTCACAATATGTTGCTGAATCTACCAATACATGACATATTGTGTGACAAAGGTTACAGTAACAGAGTTAGGCTTGTGTAAATTACTAGAGGATCCCTTGCTTTATGTTAGGGATTTGATATACTGTTTTAATCTGTAGCTATATTATATTTTTCATTTTCTTCTGCTCAGAGCTGCTATAAGTTAAAAACTTACTATTTTTTGTTTGGAAAACTAATTAAAATCCATGCACTACAAAATAAAATACTACAATGCTTTTCAGCTTTTCAATTTTTCCAGCTTGTTTGTTTGTGTATTATTCTTGTTGCCTTGGAGATAACAGATTTCACTGGAAAATTATCTGTATTATATTTTTGTCTCATAATCCAAAGAAAAAATTAATGTAACTTAAAAGTAGAAGTTGAAAAGTACCACTAAGTTTTTTATATTGATGACATGATACTTTACCATATGTGGAAGACTTTCAGATTGGAAACTGTGTCAGACAGATAGCTAAGATGCTCTGTTGTATCAATTTTTTTGACTTTTTTGTTTTTTTGTGTAGATTCTTTTATATAGGAAAAGGATTTAACATCTGCTTCATTTTCCCTACCCATATTATAGCTAGGTTTTAAA